TCAAATAAATAAATAAAATCTTTATTGAAAGAATACATGTTCAAGAATATTTTGAAAATAAAGAAGATGAATCAAAAGATTACAAACAAGGGACTGGCCTAAGTTACTCTGCAAATAAAACCGTCTGTAAGGCAAAAGAAGGGACTCTAGTTGTTTCTCATGGGGTACGAATTAATGCTAAAACCACTTCTCCATATACTGGACCGGAACCATTAAGTAAACACATGGTGGATGGTGGGTGGTGGGAGCAGGTTTGTCACTGTTGAAGTGGGAGGTCATAGATAAGCAAGGGGAGGAGACTGGAATGATCTACATGGTAATAAAATCTGAGTTGGAGACATCAGTCCAAACTCACATCCAGCTTAATATAGACACAGATGGCAACATATAGAAATACTTATAGATACAGTTATATATGTAAGTTACCTATACGGCATCCCTTCCTTGGTCTGTCAGCTAAGGGTCTAGAAGCAGTGACTCCCCAGTACACCTAGCACTCACATCCTACTTCCTAGTACCATTTTTCAATAAAAGGAGCCAGGGATTCTTGGATAAATTGCTAGATCTAGGATTGGGGCAAGAAATATGTAAGATGAGTCTTGAACACCTTACAGTACCAGAAAGTAAGACAGTGCTTTAAAACACACACACATAATGGGAGCATGTCAAAGGCACACAGAAGCCAACAGAAAGAACGTCCAATGACCAAAAAACTGAGCAACAAAATAAAGTAGTATTGGTTAGTAGTATTGGGTTATAACCCAGAGTACAGGGGCGCCTGGGTGGCTCAGTCATTAAGCGTCTGCCTTCGGCTCAGGTCATGATCCCAGGAGTCTGGGATCGAGCCCCACGTCAGGCTCCCTGCTCGGCGGGAAGCCTGCAACTCCCTCTCCCACTCCCCCTGCTTGTGTTCCCCCTCTCACTGTCTCTCTCTCTCTGTTAAATAAATAAATAAAATCTTAAAAATTCCAAATGATTTACACCAATTCTCCACCCTCAATAAGGTGGAGCACAATGTCCACTTCTTAAGTATGAGCCACACATAGTGACTTTCTTCCCAAGAGGACAGTATGGGGTTGCCTGGGTGGCTCTGTCGGTTAAACATCTGCCTTCGGCTCAGGTCATGATCTCGGGATCCTGGGATCGAGCCCCGAGTAGGGCTCCAGCCCCGAGTAGGGCTCCCTGCTCAGCGGGGAGTCTGTTTCTTCCTCTCCCTCTGCCCCTGCCCCTGCTTGCACTCTCTTTGTCTCTCTCTCTCTCAAATAAATAAATACAATCTTAAAAAAAA